GGTTGATGATGTTCTCCCTGCTGTGATGCTCTGATTCTTTCTTTTTTCTTTCCTGCAGAAAAGATTGAAAGCTGCCGAAGCAGACAGCAAACTGAAACAGGTCTACATCCCCACCTAGTAAGTGCTGTGGTAGGGAAAGTGGTATGTTTTTCTTCTCTTCCTCCAACCTGTGCCTTCCTCAGTGATGGGGGATGGGGAGGGGGCAGGGTCAAATTATAGAGACAGGGTAGAAATGGATTCTTTTTCTTGATCAGTGTTCTGGTTTCTTCCCCTGTCTCTCCTTTTAGCACTAAGCCAAACCCCAACCAGATCATTTCTGTGGGTTCCAAACCTGGTATGAATGGTGCTGGATTTCAGAAGGGTTTGACTTGCGAGAGCTGCCACAGTGAGTTCCATGGAGGGCTGGGGATGCTGGGAGTGGGAGGGAGGCCTACTCTGGCCCAAGAACCTGAGGCTTGGGTAGCATGTTTCTTCCCTGCCACCTTCTCTTCTCCATGCTCGTACAGCAACACAGTCTGCTCAGTGGTATGCCTGGGGCCCACCCAACATGCAGTGCCGCCTCTGTGCTTCCTGTTGGATCTACTGGAAGAAGTATGGGGGACTGAAGACCCCTACCCAGCTTGAGGGGGCTGCTCGGGGTACCACAGTAAGGACCAATGTGGGGACAGGCAGGGGAGAACAGTAAGCATATTGATGTGAGCTTTAGGCCAAGACCGGAATACTTACTACTCAGTGCCTAACATGATGATGATTTGATGGGCAGGGGGTGCTTGATTGGTTGGAGAGTTTGGTAGATCAGAGAAGGGTATCAATAAAGAAGTCAAGCAGGAAAAATTGCCCTTTGCAGGGACTGGAAGAAAGATGGAAGCCTCAGTGCTGATGTGTATTCTCCCTTTTCCCTATGCCCTTCCTCTAGGAGCCACACTCGAGGGGTCATTTGTCCAGACCTGAAGCCCAAAGCCTCTCCCCTTATACAACCAGCGCCAACCGGGCCAAGCTACTGGCTAAGAACAGGCAAACTTTCCTGCTCCAGACCACAAAGCTGACCCGTCTTGCCAGACGCATGTGCAGGGACCTGTTACAGCCAAGGAGGGCTGCCCGACGACCTTACGCCCCTATCAATGCCAATGCCATTAAGGCAGAGTGTAAGAGCAGGAGCAGTGGGGCTAGTGGTGGGTTTGGGGTTGTTTTGACCACAGACCAGTGTGATTTTGGATGTTAGGATAGTAGGCCATAGTTTCTTTAAGGAGATTACACATGGCTCCTGGCCTCAGAAGAGGCTCAAATAGTGAAGCCCCTTTAGAAGCTTTCATCTTTGTTCTCCAGGCTCCATTCGACTTCCTAAGGCTGCCAAGACTCCATTGAAGATTCACCCTCTGGTGCGGCTGCCCCTGGCAACTATCGTCAAAGATCTGGGTATGGGATGGGGAATCAGGGCAGTGTCAGGCTCTCACTCCTTTTCCTATCAAGCACCTTTCTCTCCCTGCTTTTTTCTTCCCCATTGAGTTCTCAGAGGTTGGGTATAACAAATAATACTTTTGTGGGTTAATGAGGTTTTTCATAAGCTGTCCAGTATAACTATACCGATTTGGTAAGATCACACTCGTGTGATTTTTGAAGTACTGGTGATAAGTCACCAGCCTCTTCTCCCATTATTATTTTTGGGGGTGCCCAGGTAAACTTTTGGCCCAGGGAAAAGAGATGAAGGTAAGAAAGGGAAACTGCACAGTGAAGAAAAGGTGCAAAAGTTCTCTATATTTTCTTCATTTTTTTTTTTCCTGGCAGTGGCCCAGGCACCTCTGAAACCAAAAACACCTCGGGGTACCAAGACACCGATCAACAGAAACCAGCTGACCCAAAACCGGGGACTGGGAGGCATTATGGTGAAACGGGCCTATGAAACCGTAAGTTAACAGACTGGGATGAGCCAAGCTGAGTTAGCTAGGCTTTTGTTTCTCAGGAGTCTGAGAGGGTCCCCTCCCTCATTGTGCTGCTCGACCCTTTTCCAGATGGCAGGGGCTGGAGTCCCCTTCTCTGCCAATGGAAGGCCTCTGGCCTCAGGGATTCGCTCAAGCTCACAGCCAGCAGCCAAGCGTCAGAAACTCAACCCAGCTGATGCCCCGAATCCTGTGGTGTTTGTGGCCACAAAAGATACGAGGTAGAGAGTCCATCATGGGAGGGACTGAAAGGTGCACATCCACATTGGTGGGTCTGGGAAATAGAAGTATTGGGGCAAGAGCAGCTCTAGGAAGGCTATGGGTGCAGGGTGGGGATGGCAGAAAAGAATGGGCCGGAAGACAGAAGTGCAGAGTGGAATGTGGGGCTTCACCTGGAGGTCATAGTGTTCTCCAAGCCTTTTCTCTTCACCTTTTGCTCTTTCTGGCCAGAGCCCTACGGAAGGCTCTGACTCACCTGGAAATGAGGCGAGCTGCCCGTCGGCCCAACTTGCCCCTGAAGGTGAAGCCAACGCTGATTGCAGTGCGGCCCCCAGTCCCTCTGCCTGCACCCTCACATCCTGCCAGCACCAATGAGCCCATTGTCCTGGAGGATTGAGCACCTGTGGGGAAGGGTGGTGGGCTGAGAGGGAGAGGGTGTCCTGGGCACCCAAACCTGCCTTCCCTTTAGTATCAAAGGGAGTGAGGAGTGAACAGGAAGAGCGCCAGTGGGTGTGTCCTTGGAGGGGTTGGGCGCCCTCTGGTGTTACCGCCTCAATACTTGTCCCTTTCCCATGCCTCCGTGCTTGGTGATGGAGGGCAGACTCCAGGAACTTGGCCTATGTGGGAACCTAGCCTTTTTTGGGGGGTAGGACCCACAGTTGCCTTGGACAGTTTTGGGGGGAGGGTTTTTTAATTTTTTAAAAATTTTGCCCTTTGTGAAAGGGGATGCGGGAGGGGAAGAGTAAACAAATATCTGGTGGTGGTACCTGGTTGGGGGAGGGGGGGCGTGCACTGCCATGTCTGTCTTTTTTTTTTTTTTTTTTTTCTAATTGGGGGTTTCTGTCCGGTGTCCGGACTTTCCTAATTGGAATTTGAGGCCCCTAAGCTGGCATCAACCCCAGGCCATGCTCGCTCTTTCCTTCCCTCCCCTCCCCCTCCGCCTTTTGTACGCCAGTTCTCAGAAATAAAGATCTTTTGTCCGTTTTTTTAACCTCGGATTCTGTAATTGGTTCTTATAGTAACAAATAAAAAGCTGTTTTCTTCAGCTCCTCTTGGCTCAGCTGTTCTCTGCCATGGGTGTGTGTTGTGTATTGGGGGTGTCTTTGAGAGGGAAAATAAAGGACAAAGGACAACAAAGGAGGTACAGATGGTGCTTGCCCTGGGAACAGCTTTATAAGATATGCAGCCTGGACAGAGACAGTCTGCTCCAGCTAGCTTTCTTGTGGGACCCTAAGTGCCCCCCAGCTCTCAGTAGTGCTGGAGCCCAAGTACCATCTTGGTCTAGATTCATTCACAGGAGTTTAAACAAGCTGGCTCTCTGGATGGCTGGTGGCCTTCACAGGAAGGACGTGAGGGTGCTTCTTCCTCTGTTCCCCAACTCATACTCCCCTCTCTCTCTTTTACCTAAGGAATTCTGGGAGTTGCTAGCTGCTCCAGGGTCAGATATAGCCCACATTGGTGGTGTGTTAACTACCAAAGGAATTGTTTTGTTTTGTTTTGAGTTGGAGTCTCACTCTGTCACCCAGGCTGGAATACAGTGGCATGCTCATGGCCACTGCAGCCTTGACCTGCTGGGCTCAGGCGATCTTTCTGCCTCAGCCTTCCAAGTAGCTGGAACTACAGGCACATGCTACCATGCCCGGTTTATTTTTTGATTTATTGTAGAGATGAGGTCTCACCAAGTTGCCCAGGCTGCTCTTGAACTCCTGGACTCAGGCAATCCTCTCACCTCCGTCTCCCAAAGTGCTGGGATTACAGGCTTGAGCCACCATGCTGACACTACCAGAGGAATTTACACTTAGTTCTGTGGTGTACAGACTGATGCTTCAGGATCCTCAAGGCCAGCCTCAGCAACTATCTTGAATCTGGGTCTGCTGTAGTGCTGTTTCCTGTCTTTTTAGACAGAGATTAAATGCCTGAGCTGGGCCCCACAGGAGAAGCATCTGAGGAGAGAGAACAAGAAGTTCAGCCTGCTATGTGCTTGGGCACTTCCTTTAGAGATGGGGAACCACCTGAGGGCTTGTGACTTGCTCAAGGTTACAGACCTTGGTATGTCTGCCTCAGAGCAAAGCTGGCATCACAGTAGGAGCTGACTAGCTCACCTGACGGCCTCCTCCATCTCATGGTTTCTGTCCCTAGGGTCTTCCTAGCACCCATACTCCCTCCCTGTCCTGAGCCTACATTTCGGTGGTGTCGGGAGAAACTGACAACTATACCAATCTAGGGGTTAGCAGCACTTTCTCCCGCCAGTGTCTTTACTCAGCTGCCACCAGAAGTGGGTTCTGTCGCACTGCCTTGACGCGCCTCGTCACTACACGCAGCCACTACTGCGGAAGGAATGAGCCTGGCTCACCGGGACCGCAGCGATCTGGCTGGAGCCTTGTGCCGGGCAGAATTCCTCAACCAGGGCTGGAAGCGGTCGCGGAACACCAGTTTTGCGGGAGGACCGAGGCGGAGGGAGAGAGTACACCAGAGGTGGCTAGGAGTCCAAGGACAGCCCTGGGCTCCGTGGGACAAAGGATTGGAAGCTGCCCGTCCTCCGCCAGTGGAGCACCGGGTGCCGCCGCGCGGGTCTCTGCTGCGGGATGACCGAGCGCAAGTCCGGCCAGCCACCGCCAGGCAAGGGGCGGCCCGGAGACCCTCAACGCGACACGGGTCTTTGTGGCTGTTGTTATGAATATTCACGATTCTTTGGCCCAATCAACACCTGAACAGCTTAGAATATACCAATCGGCTTACGGCATGCCACTAAGCATCGCAGATGGGCGGTGGGTGTTTCCTAAAATGGGCGGAGACTTGACACCGCCTATAAACGCAACCCGGAGTCCAAGGAGTTCGGTTTCAGGAGGAGTGTGCCCACGCTATTGGCCGGCATGACGTCACTTCCTATCTGGCGAGCGGAAGTTGCTGTGGAGCACGTTGCGATTTGGAGAAGCGGGTTCCGGTGGTGGCAAAAGGTGGTTGCGTCTTGTGAGTACGGGAGAGCCGTTATGGCGGCGGTGGATTCGGATGTCCATTCGCTGCCCCGTGGGCGTTTCCACTGCTGCCTTTGTGACGTTACTACAACCAACCGTAAGCGGTGGCTAGTGAGGGGGGCGCTTACAGGCTTTCGTTTTTTGGTCCTAGCGAAAGTTAGGGTCATAGTTCCAGGCCAGTTGGTTGATGGGGGTCACTCGCCTCCGTTTTCACTCTGCACGTCCGAGGGGATTAGGGAGTGGGGAAAGACCCCCACATTGCCTCCCCTCCCTCTCAGCATATGAAATTTTCACGACGAAAGTGTCATTGTTTTATTCCTCTTTAACCATCATCTCTTGGATCGGCTCTGTGCCTGGTATTCTGCTGGTCTTTATGGTGGAGAGGGGGCTCAACGATGAAAGAGCTCAGCATCTAGAGATTGAGCCCGTTTCAGTGCTTTGTCGACGGGTTTAGAGATGTGTGGGCAGTAATTATGAGACAGAAGAACAAGAGTTAATCAAGAAGCTTCTGTAAGCATGCTTTGCCGTACCCTGTATGGACATGTGTGCTGTAATGTTTGTTGGGAGAGTTCCTGCTCGTGGTCCTCAGTTTAAAATGATAAAAACAGCCGGGTTCGGTGGCTCAGCCTGTAATCCCGCGCCTTTGGGAGGCTGAGGTGAGTGGATTGCCTGAGCCCGCGGGTTCAAGACCCGCCTGGGCAGCGAGACCTCATCAT